CAAAGAGTATGGATATTGCAACGGCAGTCACCTAACACCCTATTAAAGGGTTAAATTTGACTTGTTAGTAATAGTTCGGTTAAACTCTCATTTTGGTGCCTCAACTATTATATAGACCCTGGTTTCTCTTAAGTAAGGTCTCGAGTTCGAGTCCTATGAATGGAGAAATAGGCGTTGGAAGAGCTTCCCCCCATATGGGGTCCAACGTGGCTCAATTCCGGATTAATCAGAGCCCAATGTGGCTTTCAAATACCGAGAGATTAATACCAAAAAACTATTATATAGACCCCTAATTTGGTCCCTAAACTTAAGAAATCCCTGATTTGGTCCCCACCATTTACTAATTTAGCCCCAACTTGGTCCTTTTGTTAAAAATCTATTGATGTGTCCTGCTAACTCACAGGAGCATATTGACATGTCAAAATATTGTGACACGTTAGCTGTACACATGGAAAAAAGATAACATAACATAAAAACACATTAGATTCCCGCCAAGCACAAAAAAAAAAAAAAAAACATGGGGCCACCTCCTACACAAACTCACTATCTTTTCCCCCATCTTCCCATTTGAGCCCTAAAAGAACAAAAGGCTTTGAAGTCAAACCATACCTATAGAAAAGCCAAAAGTCCCATTTTCTTCTCCGTTTTTGCTAGTGAATCGTTCTTCTTTCACTTTCGAATCTTAATGTTGAGTGTTGAAAGAGGTAGAAATTGAGAAACAATGGAGTCTTCCAACATCGTAGATGTTGATGTTGACCCAAATCTTAGTGGGGATGAGGTTCAAACCTTTTTTCACTCTATTCTCTTTTGAGATATGCGAAGGTGTTGGGTGATATCTTGATATCAATTTGAAAGTGGTTTTTTAGTATATGTATCTCAATTTGGTAGTGAAAAGGACATTAGGCCCCCACTTCTTGTCTTTGTTTTTGTATGGATTAGGGTGATTACAATAGTCATTTGTGTTTTCCCTTAGTTTGACTATGTACAATATAATTACATGACAGATTGGTTGTTCAACTGTCTTTAATGAGTTTTTGTTTTTTTTTTAATAGAGAGATTAAATGTCAGTTAACATTGCCAAAATGTTTTTACATGTTGGTGGTAAATTAATGCAGAACAATGGCCTTAAATATGTTGATGGGGACTGCCATGTTTGGAATGTAAACCCAAAAAAAATATAACGGTGTGGGAGTTTTATAGAAAGGTTGAGTTTTGTAAGTAGGATCCTCATATAATAGATGAGATATGGTATTTGGCATATGGTATTGGCAACTTGAAAGAATTTTAGAAGATGACTTAGTGTGAATTATCAATGATAATTAAATGAGAGAAATGTTGGAAATTATAAAGGTTATTAATGTTATCTAATTTATGTACTTCATATCCCTGACTTTACTTATGTAGAAAAAGTGCTTCTTTTGCTAACTCCTGGTGATGATCAAAAGGACGACAATGACAATGCAAGTGACAAGGTCCAACCTAATGTTATTGAGGAAAGTGTTGGAGTTGAAGCTCCTAATGGGGTTGATGCTAATGTTACTGAGGAAGGTGTTGTGTTAAAACTCATTATGGGGATACTGTAAATGATGATGGTGTTAGTGTTGAATTTGATGATGGTAAGGAAGATCATATTATTGATGTTCATGAGTTAACAAACAATGAAAATGAAGACATGTTGCAAGCTAGAAAAAATGTCAGGTTTTTCAGTAACAATCATGAGAGAATTGAGATAGACCTTGAACCACCTGATGTAAATTATTCTAATGCACATATTACAAGTATTTGTTCTAAATCAACTTCAATGAGCTTTGAGTTCTTGACTATATGACTTTCTTTAATGAAAAATGTATATTGTTCGGCAGGTTCTAGTGCTAGAGGATCAAGTACACAACATTTTAATAAAGCTGATGAGATAGGGAGTGATGAAGAAGATAG